CTCAACTCAAGTATCTGATCAGTTCAAACACATATATAATGATACATGATAAAATAAACCCTGAAATGTCAGTAGTGCTACAGTGTCAAGATCAGGACTCATCAGACACTCTGGATGTATGTGGTATCATTTATAAAGCCAGATGTTTACTCCTGGAATGACAGCTCTCATAACATACAAAGGCAACAAAGGATGAGCTGATTTTAACTTTCATAACTGCTGGTCTTGTGTCCTCTCTGGTAGACAAGAGACAAAAACACCAGGGTGGGAAATGAGATGATCAGACATCCAGACACATCAACTGATGGATACACAGAAACTACTGAGTAGACATCAGAGAAGTTCAGTAAAAGTTGATTCTGTTCCCACTGAATGATTCCTCTCCTCTTTTTAAAGATGTTCCTCCTAATTCTCACTTTAACATTAATTATTAGATTATTATAAGGGTGCAGAGGTCCTAATATTTTCAGTCATTTCCATCTTCCAGGAAAGGAACTTGATTTTACTGACTCTAGTGTCAGTGTGGATACAAATAAAATAAAATTAAATTACAGGTCACACAGTAACAAAAGCACTTTAGTTAACACAGATACTAAAGTTATAAAGTAATATAATAATAACTTACCTTGACACCATCTTGCTGCACCCCATGGTCCCTGCAGAGTGTGGTCTGTGCTGCTGCTCTGAGCTGTAACACAACACACACCTGCTGAGTGCTGACCTCTGACTCTGGAGTAAACAGGACACATTTGTATCACCTGTGCTTTTCCTGCAAGCTCCGCTAGCCTCACAGCTAGCCCCAGTTTGTTATTCAGGTTAAAGTGGGAAGAAGCAGCGGGTCTGTCGGGCAGCTGAGTGAAGTGGAGCCTGAGGAGGAAGCATCTGTTAGCCCCGATTTCACTACAGTCAGATTCACTCGCTACAGAGGCGAGGGAATAAAACCTCAACAGCCAATCAGAGTGATCTCTCTCACTAACAAGCTCCGCCGCCGATTCAACATGTTCAATCGGCCGAAAAGCCGCTGATGCCGAGGTGCCAACGGTGCTGGACACACCGCAAAAACAAGGGGTGACAGACGCTCACAGATGGCCGGACTTTGGTCGACTGCCAACCGTCGGCTTGGTGTGTCAGGACCTTAACAGAGGTGTCTTCCTTTAACTTTTAATAATGAAAAGTTGAAAACACATCCTGCTCTCACACTAAATGCACTTTAGATGAAAGGTGAAAGTGAAAAGACGGTCACAGTCAAATGTGAAAGACTTTACAAGTGCACAAGCAGAATGTTCTCCTGCAGCTTTCTTTACACCTTGTGACACAGTGTGCAGAAGTTATGAGCTCTATGACTGCCTTCTTTATGCTGCAAGTTTAATAAGTAGCTGTATGAGAATATGCATATTTGTCATCACTATATAAAATATTTACAGCCTGATTTACTTGGAAGATTAACGTAGTGACATGTTGTCTGTTCCACATTACTGCCGCTGTATGTTAGGTGTTAGTTTGGAGCTTTTGTCCACTTTTCCTGTTCAGTCAAACACAAAATAATTTAAGTCACTTGAAGCAGAGCCTGGTGTTGAAGAAAAACTAAATAGTCTCACACAACAAAGGGGAAGGAAAACTTGGTTTCCTTGTTTATCACACCAGTAGTTCTCCTTTTAGTGTCGAGCAGCCCCCTCACATGTTCAGGTTTAATAACATTTCACTTCAGGGACCTCCATGTGAAAAGATTTTGGTAGTTAGATGTGAATTCTACAGTTGTTTACTGGAGTTGAGGAGATATCTGTGGAGGAAGTGACACCTCTGATCTGATGGCTCTTCCTAACATCAAGCTCACTTCTACTGTGAATTAAATCATGGAAATAAATGATTCCTCATTTTCTAAGGACCCCTGTAAGTCCAGCAAAGACCCCTGAGGGTCCTCGGACACCTGGTTGAGAACCACTTTATTAGACTGACAGTATCTATTTCGAGACGACGAAGAAAACAGTCACGTTGGGCCTAAAGCACATGGCTCGCCATTTTCTAAAGACAAAAAAACACAATTCGGACTTGTTTTTCTCGTTAACTTTTGTTGTTGTTCGGACAGAATGAAATGACTGAATAAACAGATGACACAAGAACCCTGGTGATAAGGGTGCCGTAGCATTGTGTTGACCTCTCATTAGTCCGACGTCCCGTTGTTCCGATGTGTGATTACACTAGGCTATACTGTATTTGTGTACCATAGAGGATCAGCAATGCAACAAAAGTAGGCTACTGGTCGAGATACAAGTGCCATAGAGAGAAGAGAGTGAAACACCATAACCTCCTGTTATTAACTCTGGGGTCCGGGTTGTGTGGGGAGCTCTCCGCGGTGCTGAACGGCTCCCGGCGGGCGTATTTCTGCCTTGATGGTGCGCCGCGACCAGCTCTGGGTCAGCTGGGAAAGGCTTGAGGCGAAGCAGGCTCACAGCTTATGTGTGGTTTTTGTGCCTAAACCTAACCAGACCTTAACAACAAGGCATCATGATGATTTCGGAACAACGGGACTTCGGGACAATGGGTTTAATATGGTCGGAACAATGGCATGTCGGAATAATGGGCTGTCGGACCAATGGGCAGACCCCGGTGATAAGATTAATAAAGTAATAGAGTATTCACAATACCTTTTGGGAGTCTCTCGGCTGTAAAAAATACTGCGTCACTGCTGTAAGAATGAAAGTGAAACTATGCAGCTCCGTAAACTCAACCTCCCCCTCTGCTCACCACTGGAGCACACACACACCGCCCCCCCCTCCCCTTTTTGTTTTGTTTTTGTTCGTTTGTGCCTTGGTTTTGCTTCTCATCTTTGTATTAAATCTGAATGTGTATACGTATGTGCACATTTTTATGCTCATGATTGTAAGCATACAGAGGTGCAGATAAGATAAGAATGTATGTATGCATGTGTCACAATAAGTAGGTTCTTTTCAATCCCCAATAGACCACGGAGGCAGGTAAAAAGTTACACTTTATTACAGGAAACAATAATAACTGATACAATCAAATCTTGCGGCTCACTAGAGTGAAGTAGTCTGGGACTTTAGATTTTCAGCCAGTAATATTGGTGAATAAGCGAGGAGAGGAGGGGGACTTCAGTTAAATAATTTGGCCACTTAAAATAGACAATTAATGAGACCTGGGTATATCACTGCACTACAGCAAAGCAATCCATAAAAGCAATAAGGGTCACAGCAAAATAAATGCATCAACCAACACAAACTAAAGGAAAAATCCAATACACACATGCAGGCAACACATAATAGAGCGGGTCTTAAGAAAACGTCTATTGTGACTCCAGACCCCTTTAACCCCCTCCCCACATCCAATTACCTAGTTCCCAAATAACAAATAGTTGAAAAAAGACAGTCAGTGGCCAAGAGATAAAAATGTCAATCAAAATTATCAGGGTAGAGGCGAAAAAAAAAATGTTCTCAAACAGGTGAGGTGGCCAGGCGGGGGGGGTTCTCTCTCTGCGTCAGGGAAGGCGAGCAGATGTCTCCGTGTCCGTTCACTCCAGCGCATTCGTCTCACAGCCGTGCGTTCAACCTCCGCGCAGCTTCTGCTTCCCCTTTTTATCACCTCGGCCTCTCCACAGGAGAGCCTTGATTACCAGACTCAGTTCACCTGTGAATGGAAGCACAAGAAGGGAAAACACACCCATCCCCGCATAATTGGCAGCCAAGTCCCAGTTCAATGTTCCCTCCCCAAAGTCACAATGCACCTCTCCATATATCCATTCAATACCCCCCCACACAACCTTTACAGGGTCTCTATCAGACACAATGGTGGACTCACACATGCAGACTGAGAGGAAATCCAAAGTTCAGGGTGTTTTAATCCAGTCAGGGTCGGTACACAAAGGGCAGTCAGCACAGGCAGAGGTATCCAAATCAACAGGCATAAACTCACTGGTCTAAATACCAACAGGTCAGTCTCATGAGGAGGACACACTGGGAAGAACACTGGAAAGCTCACATGCAGGACAAGACGATGGAGCAGAGAACAAAGGGAAGACTCAGACTTATATACACTCTGACAGGGGAGATAACGACACACAGGTGAAAGCAATCAGACAGGTCAGATCACTGCAAACAAAACACATAGAGTTTATTTATTAGACCTTGTTATACAATAAACTACCCAACTGTTGATATCAGCAGATTTAAAGATTAGTCGATTAATGAAATACTCCTGATGTGATTGTGAGCTTTAATCTGCTTTGGTTTTTAATACTTTAATTATACAAGTTTCTCAGGAAGCAGCAGCACCTGAATTCAAGATTTTTATACCAGTGTTCCCTTCATTCTGTCTGTAACTCTAAATGGAGACATCAGCTTTCCAAATGAAACAGTCAACACCACACATGTATAAACACTTGATTTTATTCTCTACAGGAGAAGTGTTTTCAGTATAATAAAAAAGTATAAAATGGCTGTGATCAGGGTGGGCTTCAAAGTGCAGGTACAAAGCGTGGCCGAAATATATCTCGCCAGCTCTAGATAAAGCCCAGCTGGATACTACTCCAGGTGGAGGTGTCTCGTCCTCGGTCACATCCAGACCTTGAAAATAAGGCTGCAACCGGTCCCATTCCTTGCAACAGAGGCATTCCTCTTCTGTGGGCACTGGGGCACAGCATTCACAGGTACACCACCAATCTCCAGAGCTACGCAGCCTTGCAGCAGCCATTCCTCCTCTCT